ACACCACACCACACCACACCACACTACACCACACTACACCACACCACACCACACCACACCACACTACACTACACCACACCACACCACACCACTACAAACGGTCGGATGGATGATTGAGACAAACAAGCACTATGTTTCACCTACCTCCACTCACTATAGGTCTGTGGACTTACACACATATTTATCTAGGTCACTGGCTATGTAGGTCACTGATTGGCTACCTGACATCATTAGCTCTAAACATAACTGACATATGACATCGCTAATGACACTAACGATGTCAGCCTCTCATTAGACACGTTTGAAGGGGCCAGACCACATGACTAGTCAGCTGATTGTACAGCTTTAATTAGCTAAAACAAAAATCGATCACCCTTCGATTGGACCGGGGTCATGTTAAGTTGTAAACAGTCGGTTCATAGGGGGGAGGGGTGGGGGAGGGTGTGGAGGGATCGTGACGGGTGGTGAGGTGGGGCCAGGGGCGGATTTAGCTTGAGCGGGGCCCCCGGCTGAACTTTTTTGGGGGCCAATAAGTAAACAAATGCTAGTGATAATACGCTAGTATTTTAAAATAGGAAATAAATGTCAACTGATGGGGATTTAGCAAAATAATTTATTCAGGCTTAGCGTTTATATTAGGTGGCTCTCTCAGTATTATCTTAACGACTGAAGCTTGGATATCCGCATAAACATGTGAAAAATAGACTAGTTTAAATCCATCAGGAAACGAGGAAAAGACTAGATCTATTTGGCACATGAAATTAAAGTAGACGAAAAATAACTTTCAGAAAGGCTCTTCTACAGAATATAAAAGAAAACAAAAAATATATCAAACCACCCTACGTAAAACAATCATGAATATTTACAGGATATTTAAATACTAGCGCCATTTGGCTTGACTAACTAAAGTTCAATATAATTAGTCTAGCTAGGCTTTTGTCTAACATGTGTTGTGTGGGTCAGACCCGTGTTGTGTGGGTCAGACCCGTGTTGTGTGGGTCAGACCCGAGTTGTGTGGGCCAGACCCGTGTTGTGTGGGCCAGACGTGGGTTGTGTGGGCCAGACCCGTGTTGTGTGGGCCAGACCCGTGTTGTGTGGGCCAGACCCGTGTTGTGTGGGCCAGACCCGTGTTGTGTGGGCCAGACCCGTGTTGTGTGGGTCAGACCCGAGTTGTGTGGGCCAGACCCGTGTTGTGTGGGCCAGACCCGTGTTGTGTGGGCCAGACGTGGGTTGTGTGGGCCAGACCCGTGTTGTGTGGGCCAGACCCGTGTTGTGTGGGCCAGACCCGTGTTGTGTGGGCCAGACCCGTGTTGTGTGGGCCAGACCCGTGTTGTGTGGGCCAGACCCGTGTTGTGTGGGCCAGACCCGTGTTGTGTGGGCCAGACCCGTGTTGTGTGGGCCAGACCCGTGTTGTGTGGGCCAGACCCGTGTTGTGTGGGCCAGACCCGTGTTGTGTGGGCCAGACCCGTGTTGTGTGGGCCAGACCCGTGTTGTGTGGGCCACACCCGTGTTGTGTGGGTCAGACCCGTGTTGTGTGGGCTACACCCGTGTTGTGTGGGCCAGACCCGTGTTGTGTGGGCCAGACCCGTGTTGTGTGGGTCAGACCCGTGTTGTGTGGGCCAGACCCGAATTGTGTGGGTCAGACCCGTGTTGTGTGGGCTACACCCGTGTTGTGTGGGCCAGACCCGTGTTGTGTGGGCCAGACCCGTGTTGTGTGGGCCAGACCCGTGTTGTGTGGGCCAGACGTGGGTTGTGTGGGCCAGACCCGTGTTGTGTGGGCCAGACGTGGGTTGTGTGGGCCAGACCCGTGTTGTGTGGGCCAGACCCGTGTTGTGTGGGCCAGACCCGTGTTGTGTGGTTCAGACCCGTGTTGTGTGGGCCAGACCCGTGTTGTGTGGGCCAGACCCGTGTTGTGTGGGCCAGACCCGTGTTGTGTGGGCCAGACGTGGGTTGTGTGGGCCAGACCCGTGTTGTGTGGGTCAGACGTGGGTTGTGTGGGCCAGACCCGTGTTGTGTGGGTCAGACCCGTGTTGTGTGGGCCAGACGTGGGTTGTGTGGGCCAGACGTGGGTTGTGTGGGCCAGACGTGGGTTGTGTGGGCCAGACCCGTGTTGTGTGGGCCAGACGTGGGTTGTGTGGGCCAGACCCGTGTTGTGTGGGCCAGACGTGGGTTGTGTGGGCCAGACGTGGGTTGTGTGGGCCAAACCCGTGTTGTGTGGGCCACACCAGTGTTGTGTGGGCCAGACGTGGGTTGTGTGGGCCAGACCCGTGTTGTGTGGGCCAGACCCGTGTTGTGTGGGCCAGACGTGGGTTGTGTGGGCCAGACCCGTGTTGTGTGGGCCAGACCCGTGTTGTGTGGGCCAGATCCGTGTTGTGTGGGTCAGACCCGTGTTGTGTGGGCCAGACCCGTGTTGTGTGGGTCAGACCCGTGTTGTGTGGGCCAGACGTGGGTTGTGTGGGCCAGACCCGTGTTGTGTGGGCCAGACCCGTGTTGTGTGGGTCAGACCCGTGTTGTGTGGGCCAGACGTGGGTTGTGTGGGCCAGACCCGTGTTGTGTGGGTCAGACCCGTGTTGTGTGGGCCAGACCCGTGTTGTGTGGGTCAGACCCGTGTTGTGTGGGCCAGACGTGGGTTGTGTGGGCCAGACCCGTGTTGTGTGGGCCAGACCCGTGTTGTGTGGGTCAGACCCGTGTTGTGTGGGCCAGACGTGGGTTGTGTGGGCCAGACCCGTGTTGTGTGGGTCAGACCCGTGTTGTGTGGGCCAGACCCGTGTTGTGTGGGTCAGACCCGTGTTGTGTGGGCCAGACCCGTGTTGTGTGGGTCAGACCCGTGTTGTGTGGGCCAGACCCGTGTTGTGTGGGCCAGACGTGGGTTGTGTGGGCCAGACGTGGGTTGTGTGGGCCAGACCCGTGTTGTGTGTGCCAGACGTGGGTTGTGTGGGCCAGACCCGTGTTGTGTGGGCCAGACGTGGGTTGTGTGGGCCAGACCCGTGTTGTGTGGGTCAGACGTGGGTTGTGTGGGTCAGACCCGTGTTGTGTGGGTCAGACCCGTGTTGTGTGGGCCAGACCCGTGTTGTGTGGGCCAGACCCGTGTTGTGTGGGTCAGACCCGTGTTGTGTGGGCCAGACGTGGGTTGTGTGGGCCAGACGTGGGTTGTGTGGGCCAGACGTGGGTTGTGTGGGCCAGACCCGTGTTGTGTGGACCAGACCCGTGTTGTGTGGGCCAGACGTGGGTTGTGTGGGCCAGACGTGGGTTGTGTGGGCCAGACGTGGGTTGTGTGGGCCAGACCCGTGTTGTGTGGGCCAGACGTGGGTTGTGTGGGCCAGACGTGGGTTGTGTGGGTCAGACCCGTGTTGTGTGGGCCAGACGTGGGTTGTGTGGGCCAGACCCGTGTTGTGTGGGCCAGACCCGTGTTGTGTGGGTCAGACCCGTGTTGTGTGGGCCAGACCCGTGTTGTGTGGGTCAGACCCGTGTTGTGTGGGTCAGACCCGTGTTGTGTGGGTCAGACCCGTGTTGTGTGGGCCAGACGTGGGTTGTGTGGGCCAGACCCGTGTTGTGTGGGTCAGACCCGTGTTGTGTGGGCCAGACCCGTGTTGTGTGGGTCAGACCCGTGTTGTGTGGGCCAGACCCGTGTTGTGTGGGCCAGACCCGTGTTGTGTGGGTCAGACCCGTGTTGTGTGGGCCAGACCCGTGTTGTGTGGGTCAGACCCGTGTTGTGTGGGCCAGACGTGGGTTGTGTGGGCCAGACCCGTGTTGTGTGGGTCAGACGTGGGTTGTGTGGGCCAGACGTGGGTTGTGTGGGTCAGACCCGTGTTGTGTGGGTCAGACCCGTGTTGTGTGGGCCAGACCCGTGTTGTGTGGGCCAGACCCGTGTTGTGTGGGCCAGACCCGTGTTGTGTGGGCCAGACCCGTGTTGTGTGGGTCAGACCCGTGTTGTGTGGGCCAGACGTGGGTTGTGTGGGCCAGACCCGTGTTGTGTGGGCCAGACCCGTGTTGTGTGGGCCAGACGTGGGTTGTGTGGGTCAGACGTGGGTTGTGTGGGCCAGACCCGTGTTGTGTGGGCCAGACCCGTGTTGTGTGGGCCAGACCCGTGTTGTGTGGGTCAGACCCGTGTTGTGTGGGCCAGACCCGTGTTGTGTGGGCCAGACCCGTGTTGTGTGGGTCAGACCCGTGTTGTGTGGGTCAGACCTGTGTTGTGTGGGTCAGACCCGTGTTGTGTGGGTCAGACCTGTGTTGTGTGGGTCAGACCCGTGTTGACTAACTAAAGTTCAATTAGTCTAGCTAGGCTTTTGTCTAACAAGTTTAGGTAGGAGTGTGTTTAAAATTGTTTAATGAAAATAAAAACATACAGAATGCGAAATATACAGAAGAATAATATTCCATTACAACTTGTATTACTTGAGAAGTTAAAATTCAGGAAAAATGTGTTACAACCCTGGTATTACATCTACATTACTTTTAAAATCGTTCTTGATTATAACGTATCTTTTAAAATCGTAAATATACGAAAACTTGATTCAGATAAGAAAATTTGAAAACATGTATCCATACTCTCTTGAAATAAGTCTACTGCTACATACATGTTAGAGTCATCGTGCTGCTGGTCTAGACCCAATGGAGACACACTATGAGTATAATAATAGATATGTCACTTTATACTATTTTAGTATGTGTGATCAGTCCACTATACATTTGAAGACTGACAAAGTAATGACCTCTCTGACTTATTGAAACATTTCTCATTCGTCTATTATATTCTTATTTTATCTCCTCTTGTTTTATAACTATGTAATATTATTTCTTTATTCCACGTTTTTAGTGCAATGTTACTGCTTTGTCGTTACTATGCTATTGCTTTTTAAAATGCTGTTATTAAATTGTTGTTTTTATTTGTTTATTTTGCAAACGGCCCATGTGAAAAAAGGCCTCCGTGCCTACTAATGGTTCCGTCATTGATTAAATAAATAAATGTCTGGTCACGTATTTGATTTCTATTTCTGTAGGAACTTACAGAAACATTTGAAGGCCGTTCTTTGCTCTCCGTCAGCCTGTAGTGCTAGCTGACTGCATACTATTGGCTACAACTGGATTAGTGGATAACTTGGCTGATCCAGACATGGATTACCAAAACATTGGATGACGACACGACCGTTTTGTTGACGTCCTACAGTCACGTGGGTTTGTCCCCGGAAGTTCCGCCATTAAAGAAGATGAAGCAAACCTTGACCTTGCCGGCCCCGAGTGTCCCGAGTCAGCCAGGCGAGACGGACTCCCCCACACGACAGATGAGGTCAATGTCCGTGGCGGTGCCGTCCATCCCGTCCCCACTGGTTGCGGCCCCGACCCTGGGGCGAGCCCGCACCAACAGCCTGCCTAACCCAGCCTTTCTACTGGGCTTCAGGGGGTGCAGGGACCCTCGGACTTGCTGCGTCAGCGTCAGGTCAGTTGGTCAGCTTGTCAATGTCATGTCAGTTTCTTAGTGTCATGACAATTTGTTAGTGTTATGTCAGCTTGTCAGTTCAGTTTGTCAAAGTGTCAAGTCGGTCTGTCAGTGTCATGTCAGTCTGTATGTCTATATAGACATATATCTCACCTGCAGCTATATCTCACCTGCATCTACATTTAATCTGCAGCTATATCTCACCTGTAGCTATATCTTACCTGCAGCTATATCTGCAGCTATAGCTAACCTGCAGCTATATATCACCTGTAGCTATATCTTACCTGCAGCTATATCTCACCTGTAGCTATATCTCACCTGTAGCTATATCTTACCTGCAGCTATATATCACCTGTAGCTAAATCTTACCTGAACCTATACCGGCAGCTATAGCTAACCTGCAGCTATATCTCACCTGTAGCTATATCTCACCTGTAGCTATATCTCACCTGTAGCTATATCTTACCTGTAGCTATATCTCACCTGTAGCTATATATCACCTGTAGCTATATCTCACCTGTAGCTATATATCACCTGTAGCTATATCTCACCTGTAGCTACATCTTACCTGCAGCTATATCTTACCTGCAGCTATATCTCACCTGTAGCTATATCTTACCTGCAGCTATATATCACCTGTAGCTATATCTTACCTGTAGCTATATTTCACCTGTAGCTATATATCACCTGTAGCTATATCTCACCTGTAGCTATATATCACATGTAGCTATATCTCACCTGTAGCTATATCTCACCTGTAGCTATATCTTACCTGTAGCTATATCTCACCTGTAGCTATATCTCACCTGTAGCTATATATCACCTGTAGCTATATCTTACCTGTAGCTATATATCACCTGTAGCTATATCTCACCTGTAGCTATATCTCACCTCAGCTATATCTCACCTGTAGCTATATCTCACCTGTAGCTATATCTCACCTGTAGCTATATCTTACCTGTAGCTATATATCACCAGTAGCTATATCTTACCTGTAACTATATATCACCTGTAGCTATATCTTACCTGCAGCTATATCTTACCTGTAGCTATATCTCACCTGTAGCTATATCTCACCTGTAGCTATATCTCACCTGCAGCTATATCTCACCTGTAGCTATATCTCACCTGTAGCTATATCTTACCTGCAGCTATATCTCACCTGCAGCTATATCTCACCTGTAGCTATATCTTACCTGCAGCTATATATCACCTATAGCTATATCTTACCTGCAGCTATATATCACCTGTAGGTCGTTCACGACGACAGCCAAAGGCGTGATCAACGCAGGTGACATTGTCAGGAAGACAAGTGTTAACAGCCTCATGTCATCTGGCAGTGCCCTCATGTCATCTGGCAGTGCCCTCATGTCATCTGGCAGTGCCCGACATATGACTGACAGACGGAAGTCCAGTGTCCAATCGGCGCTATCAGATGGTAGGTTGTGGGCGTGGCGACGGTAGGTTGTGGGCGTGGCAATGGAAGGTTGTGGGCGTGGCAACGGTAGGGATAGTGGTGGTGTCATTGAGAGTGGTGTCTGACCACTACATTCCCTCCCCCCAGCCCCGCCCTCAGCAGCCAGCACCAGTGACCGCCAGAGGGCGCCAAGTCTTGCATCCAACGAGAGCTCGTCCAGTTCCGGCTCCCCACCCAGCTCCAGTCAAAGACCCGGCCCGTCACACAGTATGTCATTCTTCAGGTAAATGTCATATGTCATTCTTCAGGTAAATGTCATATGTCATTCTTCAGGTAAATGTCATATGTCATTCTTCAGGTAAATGTCATATGTCATTCTTCAGGTAAATGTCATGTCATTCTTCAGATAAATGTCATGTCATTCTTCAGGTAAATGTCATGTCATTCTTCAGGTAAATTTTAATGTCATTCTTCAGGTAAATGTCATAGGTCATTCTTCAGGTAAATGTCATATGTCATTCTTCAGGTAAATGTCATATGTCATTCTTCAGGTAAATGTCATATGTCATTCTTCAGGTAAATGTCATATGTCATTCTTCAGGTAAATTTTAATGTCATTCTTCAGGTAAATGTCATATGTCATTCTTCATGTAAATGCCATATGTCATTCTTCAGGTAAATGTCATGTCATTCTTCAGGTAAATTTTAATGTCATTCTTCAGGTAAATGTCATAGGTCATTCTTCAGGTAAATGTCATATGTCATTCTTCAGGTAAATGTCATGTCATTCTTCAGGTAAATGTCATGTCATTCTTCAGGTAAATTTTAATGTCATTCTTCAGGTAAATGTCATAGGTCATTCCTCAGGTAAATGTCATATGTCATTCTTCAGGTAAATGTCATATGTCATTCTTCAGGTAAATGTCATATGTCATTCTTCAGGTAAATGTCATATGTCATTCTTCAGGTAAATGTCATGTCGTTCTTCGGGTAAATTTCATGTCATTCTTCAGGTAAATGTCATGTTTAACTTGAGTAAAATGTGAGGTCCTGATATGTACATACGTTGTCATGTTTTACATTTGATACATATGACCTCACTCGTTAAATGTGACCTAAGACAATATGTACATGTCACTAATAATGTAAATGTCACTAATGGTGTAGATGTCACTAATGGTGTAGATGTCACTAATGGTGTAGATGTCACTAATGGTGTAGATGTCACTAATGGTATAGATGTCAATGGTCTCAGATGCTACTATTTAATGTTGTGCTAAGCTTTTGAAATAAAAAATGTACATAGGTAATGTCACTGTGGATTCAGGTTCAGTGTTTCTTCAAGACTTTTTTCTCCTTGGGTAGGGGGGGGGGGGGCACTGGATATTTTTGTGGGGGATGGTGAACACTGGTAAAAGTATATCTTTCTATATAAATTTCCAACCCCTCCCCTCCCCCATCCTCCCCTGGAAGAAACGCTGATCAGATTCTATCACCCACTGAAAAGGTTCTATTTATAGTCTCAAGAAAAGGATTCCTCAAATACGTTAATTTCAATGGAGCGTCTGTGTGTTAGATGGCGCGTGTGTGTGTGTGCGTGTGTTTGTCCAGTTGGTCTGTGAATCCTACGCGACTGACCTTCCCCCCGCTTATCCCCTCCCCACCCTCCTGCTCATTCCCTCCCCCTCATCCCCATCCTCCCCCTCATCCCCACCCTCCCCCTGAACCCCTCCCCACCCTCCCCCTCATCCCCACCCTCCCCTAATGTCGGACGTGTGAATTCTATTCTCGGCCTAGCGTCGTGTTACACTGATGAGCAGGTTGTACCGTAGATCAAAAAATCAATTGCTTACACATTACATGGCTCTCTCAACTGCTCAGTCCTGCCTTACACATTACATTGGGCATCCCCCTGTCCTCTAGCAAGTTCCCATGTCCCCTGTCTTCTAGCAAGTTCCAATGTCCCCCCTGTCCTCTAGCAAGTTCCCATGTCCCGCCTGTCCTCTAGCAAGTTCCCATGTCCCCTGTCTTCTAGCAAGTTCCAATGTCCCGCCTGTCCTCTGGCAAGTTCCAATGTCCCCCTGTCCTCTAGCAAGTTCCAATGTCCCCCCATACCCTCTAGCAAGTTCCAATGTCCCCCCTGTCCTCTAGCAAGTTCCCATGTCCCGCCTGTCCTCTAGCAAGTTCCAATGTCCCCCCGGTCCTTTAGCAAGTTCCAATGTCCCCCCATACCCTCTAGCAAGTTCCAATGTCCCCCCTGTCCTCTAGCAAGTTCCCATGTCCCGCCTGTCCTCTAGCAAGTTCTAATGTCCCCCCTGTGCTCTAGCAAGTTCCAATGTCCCCCCCTGTCCTCTAGCAAGTTCCAATGTCCCCCCATGTCCTCTAGCAAGTTCCAATGTCCCCCCCTGTCCTCTAGCAAGTTCCAATGTCCCCCCATGTCCTCTAGCAAGTTCCAATGTCCCCCCCTGTCCTCTAGCAAGTTCCAATGTCCCCCCCCTGTCCTCTAGCAAGTTCCCATGTCCCGCCTGTCCTCTAGCAAGTTCCAATGTCCCCCCATGTCCTCTAGCAAGTTCCAATGTCCCCCCCTGTCCTCTAGCAAGTTCCAATGTCCCCCCATGTCCTCTAGCAAGTTCCAATGTCCCCCCTGTCCTCTAGCAAGTTCCAATGTCCCCCCATGTCCTCTAGCAAGTTCCAATGTCCCCCCCTGTCCTCTAGCAAGTTCCAATGTCCCCCCATGTCCTCTAGCAAGTTCAAATGTCCCCCCTGTGCTCTAACAAGTTCCGGATTGTCAGGTTGACATCTACAGAAAGCCAGGACGTTGCCAGATCTCAAACACTTGGTCAAATACACACGTCAAAAGTTGACTGTCACAGGTCAAATGTTGACTGTCACACGTCACATATTGACTGTCACACGTCAAATGTTGACTGTCCCACATGACTTTCACAGTCAAATGTTGACTATTACACGTCACATATTGACTGTCACACGTCACATTGAGTTCTGCTTATTTAGTGTCTTGGTGCTCTCACGACTGGTTCTAATGATGACCTTGACCCACAGGGTCGTCATTCAGGGCGACGAAGGTGTCGGCAAAACAGCGCTCACGCGGCAGTTCAGCAGCTCGGAGTACCTGGGCACTTACGACAACCTGACGGCAGGTAAGTAGGTCAAGGTCAGCGTCTGGTCTATAACCTGTCTGTACCTTCAGGTTGGGTCATGTCCTGGGTCTGGTTGGGTCATGTCCTGGGTCTGGTTGTGTCATGTCCTGGGTCTGGTTGGGGTCGTGTCCTGGGTCTGGTTGGGTCATGTCCTGGGTCTGGTTGGGTCTGGTTGGGTCATGTCCTGGGTCTGGTTGGGTCATGTCCTGGGTCTGGTTGGGTCATGTCCTGGGTCTGGTTGGGTCATGTCCTGGGTCTGGTTGGGTCATGTCCTGGGTCTGGTTGGGTCATGTCCTGGGTCTGGTTGTGTCATGTCCTGGGTCTGGTTAGGTCATGTCCTGGGTCTGGTTGGGTCATGTCCTGGGTCTGGTTGGGTCATGTCCTGGGTCTGGTTGGGTCATGTCCTGGGTCTGGTTGGGTCATGTCCTGGGTCTGGTTAGGTCATGTCTTGGGTCTGGTGGGGTCATGTCCTGGGTCATGTCCTGGGTCTGGTTGGGTCATGTCTTGGGTCTGGTTGGGTCATGTCCTGGGTCTGGTTGGGTCATGTCCTGGGTCTGGTTGGGTCTGGTTGGGTCATGTCCTGGGTCTGGTTGGGTCATGTCCTGGGTCTGGTTGGGTCATGTCCTGGGTCTGGTTGGGTCATGTCCTGGATCTGGTTGTGTCATGTCCTGGGTCTGGTTAGGTCATGTCCTGGGTCTGGTTGGGTCATGTCCTGGGTCTGGTTGGGTCATGTCCTGGGTCTGGTTGGGTCATGTCCTGGGTCTGGTTGGGTCATGTCCTGGGTCTGGTTAGGTCATGTCCTGGGTCTGGTTGGGTCATGTCCTGGGTCTGGTTGTGTCATGTCCTGGGTCTGGTTAGGTCATGTCCTGGGTCTGGTTGGGTCATGTCCTGGGTCATGTCCTGGGTCTGGTTGGGTCATGTCCTGGGTCTGGTTGGGTCATGTCCTGGGTCTGGTTGGGTCATGTCCTGGGTCTGGTTGGGTCATGTCCTGGGTCTGGTTGGGTCATGTCCTGGGTCTGGTTGGGTCATGTCCTGGGTCTGGTTGGGTCATGTCCTGGGTCTGGTTGGGTCATGTCCTGGGTCTGGTTGGGTCATGTCCTGGGTCTGGTTAGGTCATGTCCTGGGTCTGGTTGGGTCATGTCCTGGGTCTGGTTGGGTCATGTCCTGGGTCTGGTTGGGTCATGTCCTGGGTCTGGTTGGGTCATGTCCTGGGTCTGGTTGGGTCATGTCCTGGGTCTGGTTGGGTCATGTCCTGGGTCTGGTTGGGTCATGTCCTGGGTCTGGTTGGGTCATGTCCTGGGTCTGGTTGGGTCATGTCTTGGGTCTGGTGGGGTCATGTCCTGGGTCATGTCCTGGGTCTGGTTGGGTCATGTCTTGGGTCTGGTTGGGTCATGTCCTGGGTCTGGTTGGGTCATGTCCTGGGTCTGGTTGGGTCTGGTTGGGTCATGTCCTGGGTCTGGTTGGGTCATGTCCTGGGTCTGGTTGGGTCATGTCCTGGGTCTGGTTGGGTCATGTCCTGGGTCTGGTTGGGTCATGTCCTGGGTCTGGTTGGGTCATGTCCTGGGTCTGGTTGGGTCTGGTTGGGTCATGTCCTGGGTCTGGTTGGGTCATGTCCTGGGTCTGGTTGGGGTCGTGTCCTGGGTCTGGTTGGGGTCATGTCCTGGGTCTGGTTGGGTCATGTCCTGGGTCTGGTTGGGTCATGTCCTGGGTCTGGTTGGGTCATGTCCTGGGTCTGGTTGGGGTCGTGTCCTGGGTCTGGTTGGGTCATGTCCTGGGTCTGGTTGGGTCATGTCCTGGGTCTGGTTGGGTCATGTCCTGGGTCTGGTTGGGTCATGTCCTGGGTCTGGTTGGGTCATGTCCTGGGTCTGGTTGGGTCATGTCCTGGGTCTGGTTGGGTCATGTCCTGGGTCTGGTTGGGTCATGTACTGGGTCATGTCCTGGGTCTGGTTGGGTCTGGTTGGGTCATGTCCTGGGTCTGGTTGGGTCATGTCCTGGGTCTGGTTGGGTCATGTCCTGGGTCTGGTTGGGTCATGTCCTGGGTCTGGTTGGGTCATGTCCTGGGTCTGGTTGGGTCATGTACTGGGTCATGTCCTGGGTCTGGTTGGGTCATGTCCTGGGTCTGGTTGGGGTCATGTCCTGGGTCTGGTTGGGTCATGTCCTGGGTCTGGTTGGGTCGTGTCCTGGGTCTGGTTGGGTCATGTACTGGGTCATGTCCTGGGTCTGGTTGGGTCATGTACTGGGTCATGTCCTGGGTCTGGTTGGGTCATGTCCTGGGTCTGGTTGGGTCTGGTTTGGTCATGTCCTGGGTCTGGTTGGGTCATGTCCTGGGTCTGGTTGGGTCATGTCCTGGGTCATGTCCTGGGTCTGGTTGGGTCATGTCCTGGGTCTGGTTGGGGTCGTGTCCTGGGTCTGGTTGGGTCATGTCCTGGGTCATGTCCTGGGTCTGGTTGGGTCATGTCCTGGGTCTGGTTGGGTCTGGTTGGGTCATGTCCTGGGTCTGGTTGGGTCATGTCCTGGGTCTGGTTGGTTCATGTCCTGGGTCATGTCCTGGGTCTGGTTGGGTCATGTCCTGGGTCTGGTTGGGTCATGTCCTGGGTCTGGTTGGGTCATGTCCTGGGTCATGTCCTGGGTCATGTCCTGGGTCTGGTTGGGTCATGTCCTGGGTCATGTCCTGGGTCATGTCCTGGGTCTGGTTGGGTCATGTCCTGGGTCTGGGTCTGGTTGGGTCATGTACTGGGTCATGTCCTGGGTCATGTCCTGGGTCATGTCCTGGGTCTGGTTGGGTCATATCCTGGGTCTGGTGGGGTCATGTCCTGGGTCATGTCCTGGGTCTGGTTGGGTCATGTCCTGGGTCTGGTTGGGTCATGTCCTGGGTCTGGTTGGGTCATGTCCTGGGTCTGGTTGGGTCATGTCCTGGGTCTGGTTGGGTCATGTCCTGGGTCTGGTTGGGTCATGTCCTGGGTCTGGTTGGGTCATGTCCTGGGTCTGGTTGGGTCATGTCCTGGGTCTGGTTGGGTCATGTCCTGGGTCTGGTTGGGTCATGTCCTGGGTCTGGTTGGGTCATGTCCTGGGTCTGGTTGGGTCATGTCCTGGGTCTGGTTGGGTCATGTCCTGGGTCTGGTTAGGTCATGTCCTGGGTCTGGTTGGGTCATGTCCTGGGTCTGGTTGGGTCATGTCCTGGGTCTGGTTGGGTCATGTCCTGGGTCTGGTTGGGTCATGTCCTGGGTCTGGTTGGGTCATGTCCTGGGTCTGGTTGGGTCATGTCCTGGGTCTGGTTGGGTCATGTCCTGGGTCTGGTTGGGTCATGTCCTGGGTCTGGTTGGGTCATGTCCTGGGTCTGGTTGGGTCATGTCCTGGGTCTGGTTGGGTCATGTCCTGGGTCTGGTTGGGTCATGTCCTGGGTCTGGTTGGGTCATGTCTTGGGTCTGGTGGGGTCATGTCCTGGGTCATGTCCTGGGTCTGGTTGGGTCATGTCTTGGGTCTGGTTGGGTCATGTCCTGGGTCTGGTTGGGTCATGTCCTGGGTCTGGTTGGGTCTGGTTGGGTCATGTCCTGGGTCTGGTTGGGTCATGTCCTGGGTCTGGTTGGGTCATGTCCTGGGTCTGGTTGGGTCATGTCCTGGATCTGGTTGTGTCATGTCCTGGGTCTGGTTAGGTCATGTCCTGGGTCTGGTTGGGTCATGTCCTGGGTCTGGTTGGGTCATGTCCTGGGTCTGGTTGGGTCATGTCCTGGGTCTGGTTGGGTCATGTCCTGGGTCTGGTTAGGTCATGTCCTGGGTCTGGTTGGGTCATGTCCTGGGTCTGGTTGTGTCATGTCCTGGGTCTGGTTAGGTCATGTCCTGGGTCTGGTTGGGTCATGTCCTGGGTCTGGTTGGGTCATGTCCTGGGTCTGGTTGGGTCATGTCCTGGGTCTGGTTGGGTCATGTCCTGGGTCTGGTTAGGTCATGTCCTGGGTCTGGTTGGGTCATGTCCTGGGTCTGGTTGGGTCATGTCCTGGGTCTGGTTGGGTCATGTCCTGGGTCTGGTTGGGTCATGTCCTGGGTCTGGTTGGGTCATGTCCTGGGTCTGGTTGGGTCATGTCCTGGGTCTGGTTGGGTCATGTCCTGGGTCTGGTTGGGTCATGTCCTGGGTCTGGTTGGGTCATGTCCTGGGTCTGGTTGGGTCATGTCCTGGGTCTGGTTGGGTCATGTCCTGGGTCTGGTTAGGTCATGTCCTGGGTCTGGTTGGGTCATGTCCTGGGTCTGGTTGGGTCATGTCCTGGGTCTGGTTGGGTCATGTCCTGGGTCTGGTTGGGTCATGTCCTGGGTCTGGTTGGGTCATGTCCTGGGTCTGGTTGGTCATGTCCTGGGTCTGGTTGGGTCATGTCCTGGGTCTGGTTGGGTCATGTCCTGGGTCTGGTTGGGTCATGTCCTGGGTCTGGTTGGGTCATGTCCTGGGTCTGGTTGGGTCATGTCCTGGGTCTGGTTGGGTCATGTCCTGGGTCTGGTTGGGTCTGGTTGGGTCATGTCCTGGGTCTGGTTGGGTCATGTCCTGGGTCTGGTTGGGTCATGTCCTGGGTCTGGTTGGGTCATGTCCTGGGTCATGTCCTGGGTCTGGTTGGGTCATGTCCTGGGTCTGGTTGGGTCATGTCCTGGGTCTGGTTGGGTCATGTCCTGGGTCTGGTTGGGTCATGTCCTGGGTCTGGTTGGGTCATGTCCTGGGTCTGGTTGGGTCATGTCCTGGGTCTGGTTGGGTCATGTCCTGGGTCTGGTTGGGTCATGTCCTGGGTCTGGTTGGGTCATGTCCTGGGTCTGGTTGGGTCATGTCCTGGGTCTGGTTGGGTCATGTCCTGGGTCTGGTTAGGTCATGTCCTGGGTCTGGTTGGGTCATGTCCTGGGTCTGGTTGGGTCATGTCCTGGGTCTGGTTGGGTCATGTCCTGGGTCTGGTTGGGTCATGTCCTGGGTCTGGTTGGGTCATGTCCTGGGTCTGGTTGGGTCATGTCCTGGGTCTGGTTGGGTCATGTCCTGGGTCTGGTTGGGTCATGTCCTGGGTCTGGTTGGGTCATGTCTTGGGTCTGGTGGGGTCATGTCCTGGGTCATGTCCTGGGTCTGGTTGGGTCATGTCTTGGGTCTGGTTGGGTCATGTCCTGGGTCTGGTTGGGTCATGTCCTGGGTCTGGTTGGGTCTGGTTGGGTCATGTCCTGGGTCTGGTTGGGTCATGTCCTGGGTCTGGTTGGGTCATGTCCTGGGTCTGGTTGGGTCATGTCCTGGGTCTGGTTGGGTCATGTCCTGGGTCTGGTTGGGTCATGTCCTGGGTCTGGTTGGGTCTGGTTGGGTCATGTCCTGGGTCTGGTTGGGTCATGTCCTGGGTCTGGTTGGGGTCGTGTCCTGGGTCTGGTTGGGGTCATGTCCTGGGTCTGGTTGGGTCATGTCCTGGGTCTGGTTGGGTCATGTCCTGGGTCTGGTTGGGTCATGTCCTGGGTCTGGTTGGGGTCGTGTCCTGGGTCTGGTTGGGTCATGTCCTGGGTCTGGTTGGGTCATGTCCTGGGTCTGGTTGGGTCATGTCCTGGGTCTGGTTGGGTTATGTCCTGGGTCTGGTTGGGTCATGTCCTGGGTCTGGTTGGGTCATGTCCTGGGTCTGGTTGGGTCATGTCCTGGGTCTGGTTGGGTCATGTACTGGGTCATGTCCTGGGTCTGGTTGGGTCTGGTTGGGTCATGTCCTGGGTCTGGTTGGGTCATGTCCTGGGTCTGGTTGGGTCATGTCCTGGGTCTGGTTGGGTCATGTCCTGGGTCTGGTTGGGTCATGTCCTGGGTCTGGTTGGGTCATGTACTGGGTCATGTCCTGGGTCTGGTTGGGTCATGTCCTGGGTCTGGTTGGGGTCATGTCCTGGGTCTGGTTGGGTCATGTCCTGGGTCTGGTTGGGTCGTGTCCTGGGTCTGGTTGGGTCATGTACTGGGTCATGTCCTGGGTCTGGTTGGGTCATGTACTGGGTCATGTCCTGGGTCTGGTTGGGTCATGTCCTGGGTCTGGTTGGGTCTGGTTGGGTCATGTCCTGGGTCTGGTTGGGTCATGTCCTGGGTCTGGTTGGGTCATGTCCTGGGTCTGGTTGGGTCATGTCCTGGGTCTGGTTGGGTCATGTCCTGGGTCATGTCCTGGGTCTGGTTGGGTCATGTCCTGGGTCTGGTTGGGGTCGTGTCCTGGGTCTGGTTGGGTCATGTCCTGGGTCATGTCCTGGGTCTGGTTGGGTCATGTCCTGGGTCTGGTTGGGTCTGGTTGGGTCATGTCCTGGGTCTGGTTGGGTCATGTCCTGGGTCTGGTTGGTTCATGTCCTGGGTCATGTCCTGGGTCTGGTTGGGTCATGTCCTGGGTCTGGTTGGGTCATGTCCTGGGTCTGGTTGGGTCATGTCCTGGGTCATGTCCTGGGTCATGTCCTGGGTCTGGTTGGGTCATGTCCTGGGTCATGTCCTGGGTCATGTCCTGGGTCTGGTTGGGTCATGTCCTGGGTCTGGGCCTGGGTCTGGTTGGGTCATGTACTGGGTCATGTCCTGGGTCATGTCCTGGGTCATGTCCTGGGTCTGGTTGGGTCATATCCTGGGTCTGGTGGGGTCATGTCCTGGGTCATGTCCTGGGTCTGGTTGGGTCATGTCCTGGGTCTGGTTGGGTCATGTCCTGGGTCTGGTTGGGTCATGTCCTGGGTCTGGTTGGGTCATGTCCTGGGTCTGGTTGGGTCATGTCCTGGGTCTGGTTGGGTCATGTCCTGGGTCTGGTTGGGTCATGTCCTGGGTCTGGTTGGGTCATGTCCTGGGTCTGGTTGGGTCATGTCCTGGGTCTGGTTGGGTCATGTCCTGGGTCTGGTTGGGTCATGTCCTGGGTCTGGTTGGGTCATGTGATGAAACAGACGCGCCAGATGTTTGTCCTGCAGGGTTAGAGTTCAGGAACCAGAAGATAATGACGTCATAACATGCAAACATTAACTTAACCAATGACGTCATAACATGCAAACATTAATATAACCGTTGATTTCTAGCGAAAAGCCAACCCCATATCCACAAAACCAACCCCAGAACCACAAAACCAACCCCACATCCACAAAACCAGCCCTCAGCCTGTATGTTTATGTGGGTGTGTGGTGTGTGGTGTGTCAACTAGCTGCACATGTTTACTTTCACAAACACCAAAAATTCTCTAATGAAGTTTCTACAGTGTTTTGATTTTCAGTTTTTAATTATTTTTCCTCCGTTGTCCCGTGGTGATTTAGCCATGTAATTACAACTGGCAGAGTTCCTCCCCTTAGTCTAGTGGGTTAACATGAGTTATCCCCCTCAACGCTGCGGCCTAACACGCAATTTGAACAAAGTATTTTCCCGTAAGCTATAAATGGCAAAAGCCGTAGAAAATAGACGCTGTTTTGCTGTCAAAAATAGACTGTTATTAAAGGCTATAAATAGAAACTAGAGACTTGTCTGCTAATTAAATTTTGATATATTTCTGCTCCAATTTTTAAAACAGCACTACTAGAGGGGATATGTTAAATGTCATGTTGTCAGATGTTAATGTCATATGTTAATGTCATCGGCCCTGTTGTATATCATGTCCTATATGTCCCCCATGTCCTATATGTCCCCCATGTCCTATATGTCCCCCATGTCCTATATGTCCCCCATGTCCTATATGTCCCCCATGTCCTATATGTCCCCTATGTCCTAATGGTCACAAAAAATTGTTGGGTTTAATTGGTGCTAGAGGGTACACTGGTCCCCTCCCCCCCCCCCCACTCCAAGTCTCACTACTTGCTGATTGGTGGGCTTTAGATCACGTGACTCTCCCTCTTGTCCACTCTGTCCCTAATGTACAGGACAGTCACTGACCTCTCCCTAACCCCCGAACCCAATTAAAGCACGTGATACATCGTCGCCTAGCAACCTACATAAACACAGGTTGCATAGGACCTTTCGACCTTACGACCGTATGACCTGACCAACTATAAATCATCTTGCTGACCTTTAGACGTTAACCTTGACACCGTGACTTTTGACCTCTGCAGCAGATGGCGAGCTGACGCAGACGACTGTTGTTCCAGTTCTGCTGGACGGGGAGGAGTCGGTCATGGCCTTCATCGACGGCGCAGACGTGAGTCCGTCGTCTGCGTGGTCCACACGTCAGACATATGTCACCTTTACAAAATGTCATGTATTCCACACATCCATCTAATGTCATGTATTCCACACATCCACCAAATGTCATGTATTCCACACATCCATCTAATGTCATGTATTCCCCACATTCACCAAATGTCATGTATTCACCACATCCACAAAATGTCATGTATTCCCAACATCCACCAAATGTCATGTATTCCCCATATCCACCAAATGTCATGTATTCCTCACACCCATCAAATGTCTTGTATTCCCAACATCCACCAAATGTCATGTATTTCCCATATCCACCAAATGTCATGTATTCCCTACATCCACCAAATGTCATGTATTCCCCATATCCACCAAATGTCATGTATTCCCCATATCCACCAAATGTCATGTATTCCCCACATTCACCAAATGTCATGTATTCCCCATATCCACCAAATGTCATGTATTCCCCAGGCGTACCAAATGGATGACATCAATGTGGACGCCTACATCGTCGTGTTCTCTATCGTGGACCGCAACTCCTTCATTGTGGCCCGCGACCTGGCCCGCCAGCTGAGGGTCAATGTGGGCACTGACCGGGCCATCATCCTAGTGGGCAACAAGGCGGACCTGGTCCGCAAGAGACAAGTGGCCATTGACGGTACCAGACAACATGCCATTTGAACCTGACATTTCAACCTGACATTTCAACCTGACATTTGAGCTTTTGCTCTATCAATGTGACACGTATCCGTTACATTGTGACTCTGTGACTCCTGTATGTGACTGTTATGTGACGCAAGTCTGTGACGCAAGTCTGTGACGCAAGTCTGTGACTGATACCCACATGTCACGTGACCCGCTAACCCCTTGTGTCAATCCACAGAGGCCAAGGACGTGTCCACGACCTTTGACCTCAAGTATCTCGAGACGTCCGCGGCCTTGAACCACCACATCGACGAGCTGGTGGCTGGGACCCTCAAGCAGATACGTCATCAGCTGCTCCCCCCCGGGGCCGCCCTCATGCCTCCACCAGCGAGCAAGTCCAGGAGCCGCACCCCGTCCCCAGTCTCGTTCTTCAACAAACTTTTCAAGAGGGCCGTCAAGACCTCGGCATCGTGTGAGGGAATCTTCATGAAGTGATGACGTCAGCCTGCTCAGTGGATGACGTCATCACACAGCTGGACCACTAGCCGACAGCTTAGACTAGCTCATGGCCAAATAGTTGGGCGATGTCCTAAACTAGTGGATTAACAGATGGCCCAACTCTTGTACTAGCAGATGGCCAAATAGTTGGACGATGGCCTAAACTAGTGGATTAGCAGATGGCCCAACTGTTTTACTAGCACTAGCAGATGGCCCCTGTACTAGCGATGGCCTAAACTAGTGGATTAGCAGATGGCCCCTCTACTAGCAGATGGCCAAATAGTTGGACGATGGCCTAAACTAGTGGATTAGCAGATGGCCCAACTCTTGTACTAGCAGATGGCCAAATAGTTGGGCGATGGCCTAAACTAGTAGATTAGCAGATGGCCCCTCTACTACAAGATGGCCAAATAGTTGGGCGATGGCCTAAACCAGTGGATTAGCAGATGGCCCCTGTACTAGCAGATGGCCCCTCTACTAGCAGATGGCCCAACTGTTTTACTACAAAATGGCCGCGACTACTAGAGACTAGCCAACACAGAAAGAGACTTTTGAAATATTTGTTGGATGGTCCATTCTTCTATCACTAGTCACGTGATAGGAACATTCACGTTTGTATCAACATTGACATGTTTCAACATTCACGTTTGTATCAACATTCACATGTTTCAACATTCACGTTTGTATCAACATTCACTTGTTTCAACATTCACGTTTGTATCAACATTGACATGTTTCAACATTCACGTTTGTATCAACATTCACATGTTTCAACATTCACGTTTGTATCAACATTCACATGTTTCAACATTCACGTTTGTATCAACATTGACATGTTTCAACATTCACGTTTGTATCAAAAGTTTCAACAGTCGTTAAATTAATCAACTCAGCATCAGCATTCAATCAATGATATGGACGGAAACTAATTAACAAGATGAGCTCACTAATTAGTTTGTTTTCTTCAGTGAAACACACAGCTGACGTTATGTGGTGCTACTCGGTGAAGCTCGTTTGTTGGGTGGCTATAGACTGAGGACATACCATCGTGTTTGTTTGGACATACCATCGTGTATGTTTGGACATACCATCCTGTGTGTTGAAACAACTGGACATACCATCCTGTATGTTGAAACAACTGGACATACCATCGTGTATGTTGAAACAACTGGACATACCATCGTGTATGAACATACCATCGTATATGTTGAAACAACTGGACATACCATCGTGTATGTTGAAACAACTGGACATACCATCGTGTATGTTGACAATTGTTGAAACAATTGAATCGGCGTATTTAGCGTCAAAATTTTAATGTCACAATGTCAAGACAAAAAAACCGACAGGGTACAAAGGCCGACACGATACAAAGGCCGACAATGAAAGAGCTATACACTGAAACGATGAAATTAGCCTGTGATTTTATTAACCAATCAAGTATTTTTATATTCAGAGAAATATTAAGCACAATTTAAAGTTGTTAAGTAAATATCTCAAGTTGTAATTTTAAAGTTTTGTTTCAACATGCTTTTGTCAGGCTTCCAGTCTCTCCTGTCCAACTAGTGTTTTCCTCAAACGGCAAGAAAACAAATCGATGCCAACTGTCTGTTGGTGGCCATAAACTCGAGGCTATTTTCGTCTCAACATCTTCTAGAACGTCTTCATAGTGGCCATTTCTGGTCGTTTTTTTTTTCTACTAGAAGCTATCCGTCAGGTATTTGCGTGGTGCTGGGTGCTAGCAAGATATAAAGTGCAATGGTGTGCTGGGTGCTATAAAGTACAATGGTGTGCTGGGTGCTAGCAGTATAAAGTAGAATGGTGTGCTGGGTGCTATAAAGTACAATGGTGTGCTGGGTGCTATAATGGAGAATTGTGTGCAGTATAAAGTAGAATGGTGTGTTGGGTGCTATAAAGTAGAATGGTGTGCTGGGTGCTATAAGGTAGAATGGTGTGCTGGGTACTATAAAGTAGAATGGTGTGTTGAGTGCTAGCAGTATGAAGTAGAATGGTGTGCTGAGTGCTATAAAGTAGAATGGTGTGCTGGGTGCTATAAAGTAGAATGATGTGCTGGGTACTATAAAGTAGAACGATGTGCTGGGTGCTGAGTGCTATAAAGTAGAATGGTGTGCTGGGTGCTATAAAATGGAATGGTGTGCTGGGTGCTATAAAGTAGAATGGTGTGCTGGATGCTGGGTGCTATAAAATAAAATGGTTTGCTAGGTGCTAGCAGTACAAAATAGAATGGTGTGCTGGGTGCTATCAAGTTGAAACATTTGAGGCGCAGAGATAAAAGTATTGATTTCTCACCGCTCTAGTAAGATGGGTGCCCGGCAAGGGAGGGTACTCGAAGTGGGGAATCTCTAGCAGATACCAGGGGAGGCTAGCAGATACCAGGGGAGGCTAGCAGATACCAGGGTAGGCTAGCATCAGGGGAGGGTAGCAGATACCAGGGGAGGCTAGCAGATACTAGGGGAGGCTAGCAGATATCAGGGGAGGCTAGCAGATACCAGGGGAGGCTAGCAGATACCAGGGGAGGCTAGCAGATACCAGGGGAGGCTAGCAGATACCAGGGGAGACTAGCAGATACCAATGGAGGCTAATATCAGGGGAGGTTAGCAGATACCAGGGGAGGCTAGCAGATACCAGGTGAAGCTAGCAGATACCAGGGGAGGCTAGCAGATATCAGGGGAGGCTAGCAGATACCAGGGGAGGCTAGCAGATACCAGGGGAGGCTAGCAGATACCAGGGGAGGCTAGCATCAGGGGAGGCTAGCAGATACCAGGGGAGGCTAGCAGATACCAGGGGAGAATAGCAGATACCAGGGGAGGCTAGCAGATACCAGGGGAGGCTAGCAGATACCATGGGAGGCTAGCAGATACCAGGGGAGGCTAGCAGATATCAGGGGAGGCTAGCAGATACCAGGGGAGGCTAGCATCAGGGGAGGCTAGCAGATACCAGGGGAGGCTAGCATCAGGGGAGGCTAGCAGATACCAGGAAATGAGCTAGTGGTTTCATGTGGTCAGTCATTAGTTAAGTCAGATTGACATGCTGACAGACAGACAGACAGACAGACAGACAGACAGACAGACAGACAGACAGACAGACAGACAGACAGACAGACAGACAGACAGACAGACAGACAGACAGACAGACAGACAGACAGACAGACAGACAGACAGACAGACAGACAGACAGACAGACAGACAGACAGACAGACAGACAGACAGACAGACAGACAGACAGACAGACAGACAGACAGACAGACAGACAGACAGACAGACAGACAGACAGACAGACAGACAGACAGACAGACAGACAGACAGACAGACAGACAGACAGACAGACAGACAGACAGACAGACAGACAGACAGACAGACAGACAGACAGACAGACAGACAGACAGACAGACAGACAGACAGACAGACAGACAGACAGACAGACAGACAGACAGACAGACAGACAGACAGACAGACAGACAGACAGACAGACAGACAGACAGACAGACAGACAGACAGACGTGTAGACAGACAGAAAGCGCTACATTTAGCCTTTGACCTTGTCACGGTTGTCTAAAGAGAGATCAGCTGACACAGCAGTGGATGGATCAGCCAATGAAACGCGGCGTTGTGAGCCAAAAATAGACCGGATGAACTTTTGTCTTGGCAGATTAGCCGGGCTTTCGTAATGCCTCATTTAATTGGTGATTTAGTCTAGTCGTTAGGCCTCATTTAATTGATGATTTAGTCTAGTCGTTAGGCCTCATTTATATGGCGATTTAGTCTAGTCGTTAGGCTTAATTTAATTGGTGATTTTTTAAATTATTGTCATAATACCACTGTTAATTATTTAAATCTATCTCTGAATCAGTATATATGTATAATTGTCGATGTATAATTAGAAAAGTCATCTAAAAACTGAAGCAATGTTCCCTCTGAGTTGGTTATTCCCCCCCCCCTCACAACCCCACCCCCTCCCACACACCTCACCACTTGAACGGGAGAGGCCGAAATTGTGTAGAGCGACATTAATGTCACACCTAGGTATACGCTGGGTAAGATAATAGATCTAAAGGGACCAGACAGTGGTTTATGAATGAAATGATCTGTTAAGTACATTTGGGAAAACGCGTAATGAGGTACCAAAGTACCATGCCGCCAGAATCATAGCTTTTGAAACAGGTAAAACTCTGTGAATATTGTTTTTGCAATTACCATTTTTTCTAGTAGATTGAAAGGCGTGGTTTTATACCATTCAAAAACTTTGATTATGCTGTAATATTTTAGCATTTATGATGACAATATACTTAATTGTAGACAACATATTTTTGTAAAAACGAATAGTATTAAGCTACACACACACACACACACACACACACACACATATATATATATATATATATATATATATATATATATATATATATATATATATATATATATATATATATATATATAATAAAGAAAGAAAGAAAGATATATATATATATATATATATATATATATATATATATATATATGTATGTATGTATGTATGTATATATATATATATATATATATATATATATATATATATATATATATATATATATATATATATATATATATATATATATATGTATGTATATATATATATATATATATATATATATATATATATATATATATATATAATGATGGAAAAAAATTGAACCCTCCCCCCCATGCCGTGAGACGATCCTGGCTAAGCCACTGATTTATAAACGGACATCACGTGATATGAGTGCAGCTTAAGAAAACTACGTGCTTGTGTGTACGGGGGGGGGGGGGGGGGGGAGGGGGGGTTTGGTGTATATGGTGTGTATGTGTGTTATATGTGGTGTGCGTGTGGTGTATGTAATATCTGGGTGATAAATGTGGTGTATTGTGTGTGGTTTGTGTGATGTAGTTATATCAAAGTATCACATTACTATTTTGACATCCATTATGACTATTTGACATTTACTGACATTTCACGACTTCACTTTCGTTCCATGATAGATGACATCGAGTTAGATGACATCATATTAGATGTCATCCTGTTAGTTGACATCATGATTTTCGTTGAGAGCAGATTGTATAATGACGTCATCTGGCCTTACATGTTGGTCTAGAATATTCGCTAGCTTCTTGCCTTAATGACGTCATGTATTCAGGAAGTTACAGTCACTGTGGCCCTATATGTGTATGTGGCTATATATGTGTATGTGGCCGTATGGGGTAGTGGCCATATACGGGTATATTTGTGGCCATTATTTAGTATTACATAGATGACATAGATGTAATATTACATTGTTATTGTTTAGTATAATTATTATTGTTATTATTATTGTAACTCGTATAGCAGTTATTCTCATTAGGACATGGGG